GAGGCCGAGCAATTGCCATACCAGGCAGTGATGCAACCAGTCAGGATGCTCTCGATGCAGCTGTAGAACTTTTTGAGGATCTGAGGACCCATGCCAAATATTTTCAGTCTCCTTAGGGAGAATAGGTTTTGTTGGTGATGTGGACACCAAGGAACTTGAAGCTCTCAACCTGCTCCACTACAGCCCCGTCGATGAGAATGGGGGTGTGCTCGGTCGTCTTCTTTTTCCTGTAGTCCACAATCATTTCCTTTGTCTTGGTCACGTTGAGGGAGAGGTTGTTGTCCTGGCACCACACGGCCAGGTCTCTAACATCCTTCCTATAGGCTGTCTCGTCGTTGTCGGTGATCAGGCCTACCACTGTTGTGTCATCTGCAAACTGAATTATGGTGTTGGAGTCGTGCCTGGCCATGCAGTCATGAGTGAACAGGGAGTACAGGAAGGGACTGAGCACGCACCCCTGAGGGGCCCCAGTGTTGAGGATCAGCGTGGCGGATGTGTTGTTACCAACCCTTACCACCTGGGGGCAGCCCGTCAGGAAGTCCAGGATCCAGTTGCAGAGGGAGGTGTTTAGTCCCAGGGTCCTTATAGTGATGAACTTTGAGGGCACTATGGTGTTGAACGCTGAGCTGTAGTCAATGAATAGCATTCTCACATAGGTGTTCCTTTTGATCAGGTGTGAAAGGGCAGTGTGGAGCGCAATAGAGATTGCATCATCTGTGGATCTGTTGTGGCGGTATGCAAATTGGAGTGGGTCTAGGGTTTCTGGGATAATGGTGTTGATGTGAGTCAGCCTTTCAAAGCACATCATGGCTACAGATGTGAGTGCTACAGGTCGGTAGTCATTTAGGCAGGTTACCTTAGTGTTCTTGGGCACTGGGACTATGGTGGTCTGCTTGAAGCATGTTGGTATTACAGACAGGGAGAGGTTGAAAATGTCAGTGAAGACACTTGCCAGTTGGTCAGCGCATGCTCGGAGTACACGTCCTGGTAATCCGTCTGGCCCTGCGGCCTTGTGAATGTTGACCTGTTTAAAGGTCTTACTCACATCGGCTACGGAGAGCGTGATCACACAGTCGTCCGGAACAGCTGATGCTCTCATGCATGTTTCAGTGTTACTTGCCTCAAAGCAAGCATAGAAGTCATTTAGCTCGTCTGGTAGGCTCGTGTCACTGGGCAGCTCGCGGCTGTGCTTCCCTTTGTAGTCTGTAATAGTTTGCCAGCCCTGCCACATCCGACGAGCCGGTGTAGTATGATTCGATCTTAGTCCTGTATTGACGCTTTGCCTGTCTGATGGTTCGTCGAAGGGCATAGCGGGATTTCTTATAAGCTTCCGGGTTAGAGTCCCGCTCCTTGAAAGCAGCAGCTCTACCCTTTAGCTCAGTGTGGATGTTGCCTGTAATCCATGGCTTCTGGTTGGGGTATGTACGTATAGTCACTGTGGGGACGATGTCATCGATGCACTTATTGATGAAGCCAGTAACTGATGTGGTGTACTCCTCAATGCCATCGGAAGAATCCCGGAACATATTCCAGTCTGTGCTAGAAAAACAGTCCTGTAGCGTAGCATCTGCTTCATCTGACCACTTTTTTGTTAATAGGGTCACTGGTGCTTCCTGCTTTAGTTTTTGCTTATAAGCAGGAATCAGGAGGATATAATTATTGTCCGATTTATCAAATGGAGGTCGAGGGAGAGCTTTGTACGTGTCTCTGTGTGTGGAGTAAAGGTGGTCTAGAGTTGTTTTCCCTCTGGTTGCACATTTAACATGTTGGTAGAAATGAGGTAAAACAGATTTAAGTTTCCCTGCATTAATGTCCCCGGCCACTAGGAGCGCCGCCTCTGGATGAGCATTTTCCTGTTTGCTTATGGCCGTATACAGTTCATTGAGTGCAGTCTTAGTGCCAGCATCGGTTTGTGGTGGTAAATAGACAGCTACGAAGAATATAGATGAAAACTCTCTTGGTAGATAGTGTGGTCTACAGCTTATCATGAGATACTCTACCTCAGGCGAGCAAAACCTCAAGACTTCCTTAGATATTGTGCACCAGCTGTTGTTTACAAATATACATAGACCGCCACCCCTTGTCTTACCAGAGGCTGCTGTTCTATCCTGCCGGTACAGTGTATAACCCGCCAGCTGTATGTTATTCATGTCGTCATTCAGCCACGACTCGGTGAAACATAAGATATTACAGTTTGTTATGTCCTGTTGGTAGGATATACATGCTTCTAATTCGTCCACTTTATTATCAAGCGATTGTACGTTGGCCAATAGTATCGATGGCAAAGGCAGATTAGCCAATCGTCACCGGCTCCTTACCAGGCACCCCGATCTCCTTCCACGATATCTTATTTTCTTTCTACTGCGAATGACGGGGATGAGGGCCCTGTCGGGTGTCTGGAGCAAATCCCTCTCGTCAGACTCATTAAAGAACAATTATTCGTCCAGTTCAAGGTGAGTAATCGCTGTTCTGATGTCCAGAAGCTCTTTTCGGTCATAAGAGATGGTAGCAGCAACAATATGTACAAAATAAGTTACAAACAATGCGAAAAAACAAACAAAATAGCACGGTTGGTTAAGAGTCCATAAAACGGCAGCCATCCCCTCCGGCGCCATTTCTACAATCAGGGAGGAAAAGCATGCAGTATGCATCAACGCATCAACACATCAACACAACACATGCAACACTGATGTTTCCACAGCTCTCTTAGAAACCGCCAAAAAGGCACTTTGTAGTGGGACTTATCTTAACCAAGTTAAAGATTACCGTATAGCTCCTCCCTTTCGCTTAGAAATCGTTAAAAGGCTAAATTATCCCTCTGAGAACAGAGAAGCATCAGTTTATATTTGATTTGAACTGAAACCATAAAAACAATGGAACAACTAGGCAACTATCGTAAGAAAATGGAACAACATAGAATGACTTCACAAATGGTGGTCATGTTCCCAGCATGCAACACAGATGTTGTGTGACATCATTTCAGAGGGGCCCAATTTATGCAAAGACATTCAATATCAATCAAATTAACTATGTTCACTTTTTTACAGTAACTGGCAGTAATACAGGACATGGAGATGGATTTACCAATGCTGAATCAGATATTTTGTTAGGTCTGTACCTGGCTTAAAGGGGGAGAGAATCACATCAGTAATAAACATACGTACCTTCGGGGCCACGGGGGGTTTTGGGATGGTGGAGGCTCTGCGAAGACAAGAAGAGAATTATGTAGTGGATGTAAATGTATGTTGGCTGGGGTATATCGGTGAAATCACAACTTCCCTGAGATCTAAAGCCAAGATTAGAATCTCGCTCTGTCAGCTAAGACGGCTGGCGTTGAGTTGTGTGTGTTCTTGTGCAGAAGGTTGGGAATTCGATCCCCACTCGGGTCAGAACAGAATGCACTCGGTTACAAATACGCCAGCATTATCAGCCATGAACACACTGGGACCAAATCATGTGTCGATGTAACTGTGTCCACATTGAAAATGATACACAGAACACGAAAACAGTCACACATACATTGGCTTGCGAAAGTATTAATTATAGTACTTCCTTCTCCTTATATGACTTTGGGAATGCGCTTGTATGCCTTATCACTTCTTGCTTCAGTGTGTCATTTTCCACAGAATTCTGAGGTCGTTTGGATGTGAAGGGCCACTTTATACAGTGACTTGCGAAAGTATTCACCCACCTTGGCATTTTTCCTATTTTGTTGCCTTACAACCTGGAATTAAAACGGTTTTTGGGGGGTTTGTATCATTTGACTAACACAACATGCCTACCACTTTGAAGATGCAACATTTTTGTATTGTGAAACAAACAAGAAATAAGACAAAAAAGCAGAAAACTTGAGCGTGCATAACTATTCACCCCCCCAAAGTCAATACTTTGTAGAGCCACCTTTTGCAGCAATTACAGCTGCAAATCTCTTGGGGTATGTCTCTATAAGCTTGGCACATCTAGCCACTGGGATTTCTGCCCATTCTTCATTGCAAAACTGCTCCAGCTCCTTCAAGTTGGATGGGTTCCGCTGGTGTACAGCAATCTTTAAGTCATACCACAGATTCTCAATTGGATTGAGGTCTGGGCTTTGACTAGGCCATTTCTTGACATTTAAATGTTTCCCCTTAAACCACTCGAGTGTTGCTTTAGCAGTATGCTTAGGGTCATTATACTGCTGGAAGGTGAACCTCCGTCCCAGTCTCAAATGTCTGGAAGACTGAAACAGGTTTCCCTCAAGAATTTCCCTGTATTTAGCGCCATCCATCATTCCTTCAATTCTGACCAGTTTCCCAGTCCCTGCTGATCAAAAACATCCCCACAGCATGATGCTGCCACCACCATGCTTCACTGTGGGGATGGTGTTCTCGGGGTGATGAGAGGTGTTGGGTTTGTGCCAAACATAGCGTTTTCCTTGATGGCCAAAAAGCTCAATTTTAATCTCATCTTACCAGAGTACCTTCTTCCATATGTTTGGGGAGTCTCCCACATGCCTTTTGGCGAACACCAAATGTGTTTTCTTTTTTTTTTTTCTTTAAGCAATGGCTTTTTTCTGGCCACTCTTCCGTAAAGCCCAGCTCTGTGGAGTTTACGGCTTAAAGTGGTCCTATGGACAGATACTCCAATCTCCGATGTGGAGCTTTGCAGCTCCTTCAGGGTTATCTTTGGTCTCTTTGTTGCCTCTCTGATTAATGCCCTCCTTGCCTGGTCCGTGAGTTTTGGTGGGCGGCCCACACTTGGCAGGTTTGTTGTGGTGCCATATTCTTTCAATTTTTTAATAATGGATTTAATGGTGCTCCGTGGGATGTTCAAAGTTTCTGATATTTTTTTATAACCCAACCCTGATCTGTACTTCTCCACAACTTTGTCCTTGGTCTTCATGGTGCCGCTTGCTTGGTGGTGCCCCTTGCTTAGTGGTGTTGCAGAATCTGGGGCCTTTCAGGACAGGTGTATATATACTGAGATCATGTGACAGATCATGTGACATTTAGATTGCACACAGGTGGACTTTATTGAACTACTTATGTGACTTCTGAAGGTAATTGGTTGCAGAATCTTATTTAGGGGCTTCATAGCAAAGGGGGTGAATACATATGCACGCACCACTTTTCCGTTATTTTTTTCATTTCACTTCACCGATTTGGACTATCTTGTGTATATCCATTATATGAAAATCCATTTAAATTACAGGTTGTAATGCAACAAAATAGGAAAAACGCCAAGGGGGATGAATACTTTTGCAAGGCACTGTAGCTTTACTAAAAAGTGTCTGTTTTCAATTTGTAAAGCCTCAACTGCATGCAGGCCCCATTGCTGCAGACATTAGACCTGCCACAGTAGCACTCTTGATATTCCTAAGAGCATTCTGTTCTGCTAAGGTCATCTTTGAATTTTTCTGGGAGTTGAAATAAACCCCCTGCAATTATGAGGGAAACATTTTGACTTGAGATTTGAATGGAGCGCAAGAGGCAGTTGCTGAGAGGTTGTTGTCATCGAACTTGGCAGCATCCAAAAGTGATCCCTGTCTGTGAAACTTGAATTACAGACAGAAAGAACACACGCCACATTAGATGCCAGCTGTTGAAAGTCAATTAAAACAACCCATCTATTTGATACTCTTGAATCTGGTGCCCTGAAGAGACTGGCTAAAGCTGGCCCTCAGAGACATTTGAATGTCAGCAGCTAGATTAAACATTCTAGAACATCTCAGAGTCACCATAAACCTTTCCAGAAAGGTTTCCCTGACCCTCTCTGACCCTGCTTACAGCCTCTTCCCTTGGCCAAGTTTCCCTTGTAAAGAGGTCTTCTGAGCTCAACGGGAGGAGAAATAAACGGTAAATAATTGTAGTTTCAAGCTGAAAGACCCTCTCCTGTAATGATTATAAACAACTTTGAACAGTCAACTTTTGACTTTGAAATGTGAACAAAATATAATGGAAAAAGAGTTGCACTCGCTTAAGCTAATGAGCTAATGACCATCAAGCTTGACATAAAGCAAAAACGGACGCAAGAACAGGTCTCAGTAAATTTAGCAGCCGGTGGCTGTTTACCTGCGGCCCCCTGTCTTAAGCCATTAGAGTATCCCTCCATCTGGGCTGTATTACAGGGGACATCAATTAGAGGAGATATGATAGCCTATTAATCCTACACTCCCACGTCTCTCCTGTCCTGCCTGGGGACAGCTCAGCATCCCAGAGCATAACCAAAGTGCCCTGACACCTCGGCATTAATCTCCCTTCGGGCCGGGGTGAAGTTTCCCCTAGGTACAGAGCTAGGATCAGTTTCCCCTCCCACAATCCAAACCTTAACCATTAGTGGGGGAAATGCAAAACAGACCCAAGATCAGTGTCTAGGGGCAACTTCACCTGACACCTCGGCATCCATCTTCCCTCCCACAGTGCCTGCTGACCTGTGGATGGATCAGCCATCTCAATCACACCCCACAGCTTGCACAAGCCCCTTCACAGGTCAGCCTATGGGAATGTGTTAGGGTCAGAGAGAGAGAGGGGGGGGGGACTACCGCTGTGTACTGACTGAAGCATAGCAATGAATAAATAAGATTGAAAGCACAAGCAACAATCTGATCAGATTGTCGCTTGTGTTTGTAGACAAGGTTCAATCAAACTTCCAGGCATCCTTTCAGTGAGCTTGTCTGTGTGTCCATTGGCTTTGAAATAATGTCTTAGTTCAATATGGCTGGGCTTTTACAGTGTGTTGGGTGTATTGTATGTTCTGTGTGCTCTGTTACTGTGGATGCAGACACTGACGGATGACTCCAACACCGACGGATGACTCCAACACTGGCGGATGACTCCAACTCTGACGGATGACTCCAACACTGACGCATGACTCCAACACTGACGGATGACTCCAACACTGGCGGATGACTCCAACACTGACGGATGACTCCAACACTGGCGGATGACTCCAACACTGACGGATGACTCCAATACTGACACTGACGGATGACTCCAACACTGACGGATGACTCCAATACTGACACTGACGGATGACTCCAACACTGACGGATGACTCCAACACTGACGGATGACTCCAACACTGTGCCATGACGTGGTATCAGCTTCCACAGAGCAGAACATGTTGAATCAATAAAGCCCAGTGTTAGATTTACTGCGGAAGATGAGAATGAGGTCAGAGCCAGGAGAGATCAGGTGAAGGGGAGCGCGCCTCCTCCTCTTCCCCAGGGATGGAGGCAGTTTGGTGGTGAGAGAACAGAGGTTGTGCAGGCGCTCTGGAGGTGCTCTGGAGGTTCCTCCAACCACTTTCCCTGACTGTGATGCCTTGTATACACGCCACGCCACTCCCCTCCTGTCTTTGACTGAGTTTTATGGGGGGAGACATTTCACACAAGCGCTCTTTATGTGTGTAACCCCATAAAAATAATGTGTTTTATGCCTTGACTGGACGAGGCTGTAAATACTTAATGCTCCCAATACATAAACACACCCCATATGGGTGCACCCTCAGACAAACACACACACACACACACACACAGACACACACTCACAAACTCACACACTCACACACACACACACTCCCTAGGTCCCTGGGATAATGCAGTTATTTGATTCTGTGCACTGCCATTTGGCAGACAGACTGGTTCAAGGCAGTGTTATGACAGAATGGTACACAGCCTAGTTTGGGGGAACCTGTGAAGGTTTACAGCATCATAACCTGCTCACATCCCACAGTAAAGCAAGGTGGTGCATACACGCTTTGCACACACACACACACACACACACACACACACACACACACACACACACACACACACACACACACACACACACACACACACACACACACACACACACACACACACACACACACCACACACACACTCAAACACAAGCACACACACACACACACACACACACACACACACACACACACACCACACACACACTCAAACACAAGCACACACACACACACACACACACACACACACACACACACACACACACACACAACACAACACAACACCCACACAGACAGACACACAGACAGACAGGCAGGGCGCGGTCCCATGGATGCCAGGCAGGTCGTGCCAGAGCACATTTCATGGGCTGTGGAATAACACAAAGGACAGGCTGTGGAATAACACAAAGGACAGGCTGTGGAATAACACAAAGGACAGGCTGTGGAATAACACAAAGGACAAACGGCTGGTCAACCCACTTCCTAACACCTACACACAGACTCTCACAGCAGCAGCACAACATGCTGCTTCCATGATGTGTTCAGCACGTAAGGTTTACAAATCAGAAGCTTTGACTAAGACCAAGAGGCTGACACGTAAGGTTTAAACATCTAAAGCTCTGACCAAGAACAAGAGGCTGACGCGTAAGCGTGAAAACACAAATTGAGGAGCAGTGTGCTGGTTTGTCGTTTCCTGGAAGATACTAGCACATTATTGTTTGCAACAAGAGACCGGTTTTGTTTTGTATCGCTTTGGTACTATTTTTACAAGTATGTGGTAAAATGTCACAACTCTTGGTCCAAAACTCAAAACAGTTCATCAAAAAGGCTTTTTTTTTTTTTTTTTACTTTAAGCACATTTTCAATTGACTAAGTACAACACACAAAATCACACAGTAACTTTTAGAAATACCTTTCATATAAAGTAATTGCCTTTCACAATGCAATGCTCACAATACTTTTCATATGATTCTCTTCTCATTTGTTTAAATACATTTGACCATCTCTTAATCCAACTGCGCTTAATGGTTAATCACTTAACCGTTTGGTAAACCTATTGACTTTATATTGGTTTGTCTACTATATATGGATTACATGTGTGTTTGTCAAGTATAAACATCTAAATTACATGTATGACACATGATAACCATACATAATGACTACTTGTTACTGCTAATTGATTTCACATAGTGGTAATCACAATTGGTCACCATATAAAAGGGGGTGTGTGAACACTTGCAATTTCTTTCACCATGGAGCAGGATAGACAACAAGGGAGAGGAAGAAATCAAAGAGCTGGTGGACAAGGGGCCCGTCAGAGAGGAGGGCATGGGGCCCGTCAGAGAGGAGGGCATGGGGCCCGTCAGAGAGGAGGGCATGGGACCCGTCAGAGAGGAGGGCATGGGGCCCGTCAGAGAGGAGGGCATGGGGCCCGTCAGAGAGGAGGGCATGGGACCCGTCAGAGAGGAGGGCATGGGGCCCGTCAGAGAGGAGGGCATGGGGCCCGTCAGAGAGGAGGGCATGGGGCCCGTCAGAGAGGAGGGCATGGGGCCCGTCAGAGAGGAGGGCATGGGGCCCGTCAGAGAGGAGGGCATGGGGCCCGTCAGAGAGGAGGGCATGGGGCCCGTCAGAGAGGAGGGCATGGGCCCCGTCAGAGAGGAGGGCATGGGGCCCGTCAGAGAGGTCAGAGAGGTGGGCATGGCCCCATCAGAGAGGAGGGCATGGGACCCATCAAAGAGGTCAGAGAGGTGGGCATGGGCCCCATCAAAGAGGTCAAAGAGGTGGGCATGGGCCCCATCAAAGAGGTCAAAGAGGTGGGCATGGGCCCCGTCAAAGAGGTCAAAGAGGTGGGCATGAGAGAGAGGGAGGCAGACGTCAGGGATCTGTTGTGTCTAATGAAGTCTGGGCCATTGTCGTTGACCATGTGGTAAACAGAGGCCTTACCATGACAGAGGCTGACAGATTAGTTCACCTCGATCTGGAAAGATCAACTGTCAATTCAATCGTGAGAACATTTTGCCAAGAAAACCGGTAAGTCTGCAGGATATGCATTATGCTTTACCATTACATTTATAGTAAATTACATATTGTAATGCATGTAAATTCACAAAACATGTTACAGTATTCTTACAGTATGATCTATTGACAGTATACTCTGTTCTACCCTCAGAATTGACAGAAGACCCAGTGGCTGTGTGCTGACCGACCAGCAGGAGTGGGCAGTGGTGGAAGTGGTGAGGGCCAGGAATGACATACGGCTGTCTGAAATAAAGCAGGCCATTGAGGCGAACGATGACACCTTTACCAATGTGGCATCCATCAGCCTACCAACAATCGCCTGCCTTTTGAAGAGACACCAGGTATCTATGGAACACATTTACCTGGTGCCTTTTGAAGAGACACCAGGTATCTATGAAACACATTTACCTGGTGCCTTTTGAAGAGACACCAGGTATCTATGGAACACATTTACCTGGTGCCTTTTGAAGAGACACCAGGTATCTATGAAACACATTTACCTGGTGCCTTTTGAAGAGACACCAGGTATCTATGGAACACATTTACCTGGTGCCTTTTGAAGAGACACCAGGTATCTATGAAACACATTTACCTGGTGCCTTTTGAGAGAAACAACGACCGGGTGAAACAACTGTGGGCCGAGTATGTTCAGGTACAGCCCCATACTGTACATGTATACTGTATTATTGTTACTATTAATGCACAAGCTACTTCACAATATCATAATGGAACTATACTGTAAAAAAGAACTAACCAAAATATATTGTTAGAGGGTGATGGTGCTTGATGCTGCTGATGAAGCTGGCTTCAACCTGGCCAAAACTTGGAGTCGTGGGCGGAACCGCATCGGCCAATGGGCGACCGTCCAAGTGCCTGGACAACGTGGGGGACACATCTCCATGTGCGCAACTATCTCTGAAGATATTGTGGTAGGACGCAGGCCATTACGTGGATCCTACAACGCTGCACACCTCATTGTGTTTCTCAATTAAATTTAGCAGGCCTGTCAAGGTGAAGGGGTCACCTATGTCATTGAGTGGGACAACGTCAGGTTCCACCATGCAGAGGTGGTTCAGGCATGGTTTTGGGCCCATCCTCGATTCATGACCCTATACCTGCCCCCATACTCTCCTTTCCTCAACACTATTGAGGAATTATTTTCAGCATGGAGTTGGAAGGTCTACGATCACCCTCCCCATGAGCATGCCACCCTCCTTCTGGCCATGGATGAGGCATGCGACGACATCAATGCAGACCAATGTCAAGCTTGGATTCGCCATGCCGAAAGGTTTTTCCTGCGGCGCATGAACAATGAGGACATACAATGTGATGTGGATGAGAATTTATGGCCAGATGCTCAACAGGCTTGATGCAAATTAATGCGTGCTAAACGTTATGTTTTATTTTCATTCATTTAATTTGTTTCATTTAATTTCTTACATTTGATTAAAGACAGTACACCTATGTCGCAATTATATACAGTGGGGAAAAAAAGTATTTAGTCAGCCACCAATTGTGCAAGTTCTCCCACTTAAAAAGATGAGAGAGGCCTGTAATTTTCATCATAGGTACACGTCAACTATGACAGACAAATTGAGAAAAGAAAATCCAGAAAATCACATTGTAGGATTTGTAATGAATTTATTTGCAAATTATGGTGGAAAATAAGTATTTGGTCACCTACAAACAAGCAAGATTTCTGGCTCTCACAGACCTGTAACTTCTTCTTTAAGAGGCTCCTCTGTCCTCCACTCGTTACCTGTATTAATGGCACCTGTTTGAACTTGTTTTCAGTATAAAAGACACCTGTCCACAACCTCAAACAGTCACACTCCAAACTCCACTATGGCCAAGACCAAAGAGCTGTCAAATGACACCAGAAACAAAATTGTAGACCTGCACCAGGCTGGGAAGACTGACTCTGCAATAGGTAAGCAGCTTGGTTTGAAGAAATCAACTGTGGGAGCAATTATTAGGAAATGGAAGACATTCAAGACCACTGATAATCTCCCTCGATCTGGGGCTCCACGCAAGATCTCACCCCGTGGGGTCAAAATGATCACAAGAACGGTGAGCAAAAATCCCAGAACCACACGGGGGGACCTAGTGAATGACCTGCAGAGAGCTGGGACCAAAGTAACAAAGCCTAACATCAGTAACACACTACGCCGCCAGGGACTCAAATCCTGCAGTGCTAGACGTGTCCCCCTGCTTAAGCCAGTACATATCCAGGCCCGTCTGAAGTTTGCTAGAGTGCATCCAGAAGAGGATTGGGAGAATGTCATATGGTCAGATGAAACCAAAATATAACTTTTTGGTAAAAACTCAACTCGTCGTGTTTGGAGGACAAAGAATGCTGAGTTGCATCCAAAGAACACCATACCTACTGTGAAGCATGGGAGTGAAAACATCATACTTTGGGGCTGTTTTTCTGCAAAGGGACCAGGACGACTGATCCGTGTAAAGGAAAGAATGAATGGGGCCATGTATCATGAGATTTTGAGTGAAAACCTCCTTCCATCAGCAAGGGCATTGAAGATGAAACGTGGCTGGGTCTTTCAGCATGACAATGATCCCAAACACACCGCCCGGGCAACGAAGGAGTGGCTTCGTAAGAAGCATTTCAAGGTCCTGGAGTCTCCAGATCTCAACCCCATAGAAAATCTTTGGAGGGAGTTGAAAGTCCGTGTTGCCCAGCGACAGCCCCAAAACATCACTGCTCTAGAGGAGATCTGCATGGAGGAATGGGCCAAAATACCAGCAGCAGTGTGTGAAAACCTTGTGAAGACTTACAGAAAACGTTTGACCTGTGTCATTGCCAACAAAGGGTATATAACAAAGTATTGAGAAACTTTTGTTATTGACCAAATACTTATTTTCCACCATAATTTGCAAATAAATTCATAAAAAATCCTACAATGTGATTTTCTGGATTTTCTTTTCTCATTTTGTCTGTCATAGTTGACGTGTACCTATGATGAAAATTACAGGCCTCTCTCATCTTTTTAAGTGGGAGAACTTGCACAATTGGTGGCTGACTAAATACTTTTTTCCCCCACTGTATTGGATAGATATTATGGAAATTATAGATTTTCTGTCAATTTTGTTGGGTAATGTAAATGTATTACCAAATGTGAAAATTGTGTAATTTACATATTACTTTCAGCACTTCTAAGGGCGATTTGAATCACGTACTGTATCTTGCATTGTTTGCTATTGGATTAACTGATAGTTAAAATGACAAAATTGAAAATATATAATTATGTTGTGTTTTGGTGATTAAACCAATGTTGTCATTACATTACACAATAAACGTATATTTTGAATCAATGGTTGTGTGGTGAGAGATGTTTACAATCCAAATTAATGCACAATGACAGGTTTTGAATGAAAGACTGGCTGCATTACAAGTGTGACCAGTTTTGGAGTTGTGAAAATGTACTACGTACTTGTGAAAATAGTACCAAAGCGATTTTTTTAAAAAACGAACTCAGATGTGAGTGCTTTTTATTTATTTTAGAAATCGTACAAAAATAAAGGGAAGATAGATATGCCTTGATATGGCCATAAGGATTCTGTTTCGTATCAGATGGAGCGCATAGATAACAGCTCCCATTAGGGCTGAGGTATGCACTACATGACGAAAAATGAAGTGATATTAAAACTTGTCCTTTCCCATGGGAGCCTAATGCTAATTACCAAGACTATATGCCCTTCTGGAAACATGACTGTAGAGCCCTAATTGATGTACTGGCTCACTAATACCTTCCAGCTACTGAGCAAGACTTGACCGCTGGGTTTTTCTTTCATTAATAACTAAATGTCCTCCTCCTCCTTCTCCCCCTCCTCCTTCTTCCTCCCAGAAAAGGGCGAGGAGCTGAAGGAAGCAGGAGTCCTCACGCAGCGAAGTCGAAGAAACCAATGACTCGCGCTACCCCACCTGAAGGAACCTCCGCGGAGAAGAGCAGAACGTCCGGAGAAGAAGCAGAACGCTGAAGATACGACAGAATGCCTTCAGGATAAGCAGAAGAGAAATCAGACCTCCTGATGAAGTAATACCTCCTCCTCCTCCTCCTCCTCCTCCTCCTCCTCCTCCTCCTCCACCTCCTTCTCCTCCTCCTCCTTCTTCTTCTCCTCCTTTCCTCTTGTTTTTCTTTTTCTCCTCCTTTCTCTCTGCAGTTAGGTCACTTTTATTATGCAAAAGAACCAATCAGCACAGCCTTTCCAGAAAGTAGTCGTCATTCCTGAAAGTGGGACACACTCTGAGGCCATCTCTCTCCCTTATTAGGAAGAGAGGCAGGAATGAAGTGTTTTCGGAGCACTGTTTTCCCTTAAACTGAAGCAGACAGACAGACAGACAGACAGACTCCCTTCTCTCCAGAGTGAATGTCAGGGCACCACCAAAGGCCCCTGATGGATGGGATTGTTCCCACATGTGTGTGTTGTGTTTGTGTGTGTGTGTCTGTGCACGTGGGTGTCTGCGTGTGTATGTGTGCGAGAGCGAGAGAGAGAGAGAACACTTGTCTTTCCCCTGTGCCTCCTGGTAAGGCATGCTAATAGGCTGAGTGAGTCCCACATAACAACTTGATTCCTTGCTATTTTTAAGACCAAAGTGGAGAGTTATCTAAAAGGCACTTAAAATAGTGTGGGAAGCTGTGGCTGGTTCTTTTTATCTGGGCTCACACTACGGGGGACGGAGGTCAGACAGAGAGCGTGTGTGTGTGTGTGTGTGTGTGTGTGTGTGTGTGTGTGTGTGTGTGTGTGTGTGTGTGTGTGTGTGTGTGTGTGTGTGTGTGTGTGTGTGTGTGTGTGTGTGTGTGTGTGTGTGTGTGTGTGTGTGTGTGTGTGTGCGTGTGCATGTGTGCATGCTTGTGTGTGTGTGCACGCACGTGCACAGCAGTCATATCTCAGCAGAGGAACAAGAAGGTTGTCCAATGTCACCACAGATCCTTCTAGAAGCCTGACAATGACCAGACCTGGGGAAAATACAGATTTTAAGCCTACAGTGGTTTCCTCAATGTATTTCAACCAGATCACATACCGGTATTTCAACATTTCAAAATACTTTCAAAATATACTGTATATGGCCTGTAGATGTGGACCAAAGTGCAGTCTACGATGAGCATCAATATGACCAGACGGTCTGGGGTCAAAACACAAAGACAGCTTCCAGACTATGAACCTATAACCTCAGGCTAAACCTAAATTCAATTCAATTTCATTTGGATGAAGCTTTTCACTAGGAAAGCTTAACAAAGGCCC